TGACATTAGCAAGTGGTTCACTTTAGGGGAGCTTCACATCCTGATCCAAACCACATCACAGACTAAAGTTCAAAACGTAATTCCTCCATATAGAGGATTCAGTAACCAGTGCACAGAAAGCAGAAAACATTTGTGTCACATACAGGTGCATCTCAAAAAATTTGAATATCTTGGAAAAGGTTTTTTTTTTGTTATTTAATTAAGAAAATAAAAACATCATATATTCTAGATTAATTACCAAGGCCAGATTAATGCAAGGGGTAACCTGGGCTGAGGCCCAGTGCCCTGGGAAAAACTGTATTCCCTCTAGATAAACACCTGCACCTCAGAGGACCCCTCTGTCAAGCTCCTGAAGTTTGCAGATGACACAACGGTCATCGGCCTCATCTGACACAATGATAAGTCAGTGACAGCTGGCCCGTGGTGTGGTCGCAACAACCTGGAGCGGAACATTCTCAAAATAGTGGAGATGTCAGTGAACTTCAGAAGGAGCCCCACACACTATCCTAAGCAGCACTCTATCAGGAGTAGAGTCCTTAAAGCTCCTGGACTCCACTGTCTCCTAGGACCTGAAGTGGACGTCCAACATCAGGACCATCATCAAGAAGGCACAGCAGAGGATGTACTTCCTGCACCAGCTCAGAAGGTTCATCCTGCCTCAGGAGGTACTGATACAGTTCTACAGGGGAATCATCAAGTCTGTTCTCTGCACCTCCATCACTGTCTGGTTTGGCTCAGCAACCAAACAGGACAAGTATAGACTTCAGCAGACAGTCAGGACTGCAGAAAAGATCATCGGTGCAAGCCTGCCCTCCGTGGAGGACCTGTACACCACACGGGTCAAAAGGAGGGCGGACAGGATCACTGCAGACCTCTCATGTCCTGGACACAAACTGTTTGAACTCTCCTCTCTGGACAGCGTTACAGGTCACTGGACACCAAGACAACCAGGCACAAGGATAGTTTCTTCACCCAGGCCATCAGAGTGATGGCCTGGGTGGATCTTTGGGGGACACTTAACGCCACAACTGTATAACACAACATCAACTCCCAGTGCAATACCTTATAAATATACTTTTGTATATATCTGTCTGTGCAATATGTATATATTTTGTGGCCCTTTATATCTGTGTATATATCTATCTAAACTGCGTGTATATATATTTCAATATTTATATATATTTTAAGTACTTTATTATTAATGTTTTCTTAATAGACATTCGGTTTTCTTGCTTGCACATTCTTTTTCTTTCTTCTTTTTTTGTTCTTTCAGTCTTATCTTCAGTACAAATAGACAGACAGACAGACAGACAGACAGATAGATAGATAGATTGTTAGGAGCCGTTCGCACCAGTCAGTGTGCAAACGAGGAAAGAGGCGGACCCAGGTAGCCGGCTTTGGTGCATGCAGTGATTTATTATATACAGTGAACAAGGGAATGACAAAAACACAGAGGGAAAGGAAAAAGATGGGCGACTGAGCATTGACCTGCCTGGGAGGGGAGAGTGGAGCCACGGTCTGGAGGAACAGTCCTTCGGGGAAACACAAAACAGTTGCTAGCTAGGGGATACAGACATACAAAAACAATGACAACGCATGGAGTAGAGTTGGCCTAGTGACTAGAAAGAACTGGCAAGTGACTGAGGAGTGAAACTGGGTAATATAGTGAGCAACCTAATCAAGTGCAGCTGGTGATAAGGGAGTGAGGAACAGGTGAACGTGATTAGTGTTAATGGGCAAGAAACAGTAGGAAAGGCGAGGGAGGCCAGAGCGGCCGAGCAAACCTGACATAGATAGATAATCCTTTATTGCCATTGTAACACGTACAACATTTTAGAGTGCCCTCCAGTCTGTACAGCAATAGAAAAAACATAACGTATGAAATAAGACCATATAAAAAACTTAACTGCTAAAAAACTGAAATAAACAACAGACCTCTCACACCCCCCTCACACCTACAAACATATTATATTTTAGCAGCATTGAGTGTGGTAACTGCTGTTGGGTGAATCTAGCGGTCCTTGATTTGATTGCTCTGAACCGTCTACATGACGGCAGCAGTTCAAAGAGTGAACATCCTGGGTGTGAAGTGTCCTTAATGATGTTCTGAGCTTTTTTGAGGCAGCAGGAACTGTGTAGTTCTTCCAGAGTGAGGATAGAGCAGCCAATGATCTCCTGGGCCATATTAATGACCCTCTGGAGTATTTTCCTCTGAGCCACTGAGCTGCTGCTGTACCATACACATATACAGTATGCAAGGATGCTCTCAATGGAGCACCAACAGAAGGACACCAGCAGACTCTGGGAGATGCTGTTCTTCCAGAGCACCCGTAGGAAGTACAGTCTCTGCTGGGAGTTTTTAGGCAGCTTAGAGATATTCACGTTCCAGGTCAGATCCGGAAAAAGAACATTGTACCTACACACTGAGTGACACTGTACCAGAGTCAAATTCCTCATACGTTCAACACATCTGACCAATAAAGCAGATTTCAAATAAATTACTGGTCAAATGAATCCTTGGATTGAGACTGGGCGGTATAGAAGATGAATGAATGAATCCTTGGATAATACTGAGCACAATTCAGTTAGACAAGCACTAAGGGCAGAAAGTCCAGCCCACTGAGAACATGCTTGTGAAGCATCATTTTACATGTAGATCTGTATGCAGGTTCATTAATTATCTTTTCTTTTCATCAGCCGTTGAAAGGATTCCTAAGTTTTAAATTGTCGTCATCTTTCTCTGCAACCTCTGACACTTGAGACTAACTCCTGTAAATGAGGATGTGTCTAAATCTAAAAGCCCTGAAGAAACAGCAAACCTACTTTGTCAGAGTGCAGAAAGTTTCCTCAACCTCTGTGGAAAGGGGGTTGTACAGTATTGTTTGGTCACATTAGAAGTACAGCCCTTGCATTAGATCTCTGATCAGTTCTACAATGTCTGATATCAAATACCTGCTTTCCATTTCAAATATACTTGTAGGAAAAGCACCATTATCCATGAGAGTGTGAGGAGCATTGCAGTCATATGCTCTAGCGCCTGTACTGAGCATGTGTTTGTGCCACAGCCAGTAAATCACGGCCACACCTTCAAGTTTCATGAGTTAATTCAAAGTCTGGACAACACAACATTATCTCTGATAAGATGCACAAAACTAGTCATAAGCTAGTACTCCAATGGCTGCTGACACTGCAGCCTTTTCTGTCTTACTCAGAATACATATATTTGTTATGTGGCTTCTTGCTTTTCAAAAATCAAAATGTTATAAACATGAAATGAAATACAGTGTATGTCTTCAGAGAGAGGAGGAAGACAAAATTAATATCTTTAGCACACAAAATGTCTTACTCATTTTTTTTATTTGACAAAACAGGACATCATTAAAGACTGGCAGGTGACCAAAATTCAACTGTTGGCAGTCTTTGCTCTTCTGGCCTCAACGCATACCGTAGATCTTACCATTTCTGCCACAGCTATCATTTTTAGAACAACCTGTAACTAAGTAGAAATGAAATATATGAAAGGCCAAAGAATCAGGCACAGCATTATTGTTTGCCCTTCTGGTAGCAATCAAAGGAAGGGCACACAGCAAAACACAAGAAACAATTTGACTGTTTTATCATGAACATCAAGGCAACTTGGATTACACTGCAAGTACAACCCCAAAGCAGAAAACGCTGGGATGGTATCTAAAATCAAAATTAAAACAGAAAATAGTGATGTGTAAATCATCTGTGTCCTGTATTACATTGAAAACAACACAGCCACACATTATTTGGTGTGATACATCAATTTTATTCTTTGTTCAAAATAAACACTCATTTCATTTATGATGTCTGCAATACATTCCAAAAAAATTTGTGACGCTTGCATTTCAGGGCCAGTACTGAGGTAAAACAATGAAATGATGATTCCATTTGAAACAGGTGATGTCATCAGGTGACTGCATCATGATTTGGTACAGAAGTGGAGGACCACCAGTTTGCCAACATATGTGTGAGAAAATTACTAAAATGTTTAAATACAATATTTCTCAAAGAAAGACAGGAAGGGATTTGGATCTGTCACCCTCTACGGAATCTGGAGGGATTTCAGTGCATAAAGGGCCAAGCCTAAACTGGATGACCATGGTCTCTGATCCCTCAGATGGTGCTGCATCAAGAATCGTCACCCTTCTATAAGTGATATAACCACATGGGCTCAGGATGACTTTGGCTCACCTGTGTCAAGCACTACAATATGTAGTTACATCCATAAATACTGCTTAAAACTGGACTGTGCCAAAAGGAAGCCCTATGTCAACAGTGGCCAGAAGTGCATGCGAATCAGTATTTCAGGTCTTTTTTGGAAGGAATGGACGCCGTTTGCAAAGACAAAAGACTAAAGGACCGTCCAGGCTGTTAGCACAACAAGTCCAAAAGCCAGGGTCTGTCATGGTCTGGGGTTGTGTCAGTGCCCTTGGCAATGGCACCACTACTACTGAAAAATACAGAAAGACTTTGGTCCAACATATGCTGCCTTCAAGATGACACCTCTTCCCATGCATATTTCAACAAGACAACACAAAACCTCATCCCACCACATTACCAAGGCCTGGCTGTGGAGGAAAAGGGTGTGAGTGCTGGACTGGTCTGTCTGCAGTCCCAACCTGTCCCCAGTAAAGAATATGTGGCACATTTTTTAACACAAATTGTGTCAACGAAGACCCAGGACTGTTGTGCACCTGAAGACTAGTTTACAGGAGGAATGGGACAAAATGACACCTGACACATTGAATCACTTGGTGTCCTCAGTCCCTAAACGTCCTTTAGTGTTGTGAAAAGGAACAGAAACATCACACCGTGGTAAATGCTTTACTGTCCCAAATCTTTTTCTGGAATGTGTTGCAGCATCGGGATTGAAGTCACTCTTTATTTTGAACAAAGAATAAAACTGATGAGGTGTCACATCAAAACATGTGCTGCTGTGTTGTTTTCAATGTGATACAGGACACAGATGATTTACACATCACTATTTTCAGTTTTAATTTTGATTTTAGATGCCGTTCCAAATTTTTCTGATTTGGGGTTGTACATCAATAAGGCACCCTCTTTGACAACTGTTCACCTGTACTGATGAGCAGTGACAATAACATACACTGAAGGCTCCAAGCAGACGTCTTGATGGTGTTAATACTTATCTTTCATACACTGTGCTTACTATTTATGTTTGTAACACTGGATTTAAAGCAGTTTGATATGCTCAAACATATTAGAGTTATTGTATCATGGAAAATGAATTTGTTGTCTGAGGACAATCTGGCACACAGCAGTTGAGGAGGCTGCACAAATACATATATGGCCATACAATAATAATAATGTAGTGCATTTTCCAGTTCAGCACAGTTACATCAAGCTCCAGGTTCTATTGTTACCATTACATATCCATGATTCCACAATAGCAAATCAAACACATACAAAGCCCTTCATTTGACCCAGTACATAAAAACTGAGTTAAAGATCCAAAGCATTTTAACATAGTTAGATAATTCTTCAGTGCACTACTGCATGATCGGCAATGTCTAAAATCAGCTGGAAAGTTCTGCCACCTAGTGGTTTTATCATAAACATTTCACATTTTACAAGATGGTTGCATGTCATTTGATGCCATGGTGTAAATAAATGCACAGAAAAAGATTAATAAATAATAGAGTAATAAATGAATGTTGTAGTAATTAGGAGAGATGTTTAACCCTTAAGCACCTGTAAATAAAGAGATCTCAAAACACTGACATAAATCAAGCATTTTTGTGGTAATAAAGGGCCACAACAATGTTTACTACCATGACAAATATTAAGGGGTAATGTTCCTTAATACGTTATGTCTGTCCCTTTGTGTCTCCCATGGTAAGCAGAACACATAAATTGCAATAATCTGGTCACTGATAGTGTAATAGCTTATGATAGACTAAACTGAACAAGTTGAGTTGATGCATTCCTCATGATGTTTCTGAATGTTTGCATTATTTCTATCTGATCAGACATGAAGGTCAAATTCCAGCAAAGCGACTTCTAAACATAACCCACCCTGAAGGAAGCTCACTGTGATTCACTGCCTGTGGGCATTGTAGTCCTTCAGAGACCACAAATCTGCAAGGAGTATTACTGTAATGACTGTTAAAGCTTCCACGGAAACTCCAGGTGTAAAAAGTGGTTCAGATTGTTCCATGTAGCTGGAAAAGTTTAGCTCTGTCCTAAACAAAATTAAAAGTCACTGCAATGATGTATTGCAACAAAACCATATGTAAGCACTGCATTTCTTCTTGAGATGAAACATGAACATGTCTCCACATTACAAGACCGTTTTAAATCCCAAAGCAAATTTGGCAACAATCACACAAAATAAATGAATAACCCAAGTCTTGGCATGTTATGAAAGGAAGTAGCCTGTGTCCAAGCAAATCAAAAGGCTGACAGCTGAGCTATAATAACAGCATCACTTTCACTTTCTAGTTGGTAGTTACTATCCCATATGTAATGAGCACATCAAAACTTGAAAAGGGATATGAAAACATTGTGTTATAAGCAGAGCTCCCTCAGATACTTGTAGAAGTACACGTTAGTTCAGTTTAGGAATCTATTTATACATCTCTAAACTCTAGAGGTTCACATTATCCACTGAATTGAATATAGAGTACTGTAGATTGATGCATGTGCAGATGTAAATTCTGAATTAAAGACACTGTTATATCTGTTCCCAAAGCCCCAATCAAGAGAACACCCATAATGCCTTCAACAGCCAATAAACATCATTTGTGCATTGAAAATGAAGGCGCAAGTAAAATTATTACATTTCAATAAAACTGCAGAAAAACTAGTATAATAAATTAAGACTGATGAGAGAAGTATTTCAGTTGTTATAACTGTACCCAGTACTATACTGTACTTAGTAACCCCCCCCATGCAGAACTGAAGGGTCCCTGAGGTGGTGCCTTGGAGTCTGCCTGCCCCTGGCTGTGGGCTGAGTTACCAGCAGGTCTCTGTGCCCATGGCAGTCACCATCCTTCAGTTGGTCCTGATCCTTTCACTTCAGCCCATTTTCTGTGGTTCAATGTGGAATGTGGGCCAGACTCCACACAGAAACTAAACAAAGTTGGGGTAAGACAGGACACATAAATAAATCACTGGATGACCAACTGAATAATGGGTTACATGAAGTAAAAGCTTAAAGATATGCTATGGCTAAGAGCCACACATACTTTCACTTTTGGTCTGTACTTGAGGTAGGTTGACCTGATCTGCAGGCTAAAAGAAAATGAATATTACATTTTAATGAACATAATCACATCTTACCACAACAGAACTCACTGTAGCTGTAATCTGCTGTTGCTGAAATAGGAGCTTACCTGAAAAGAATGTGTAAGTAGGACCCTAGGCCTGTGAAGATGTGCCACCAGGCATGGAACTGCGTTACTACTCCAACACCAGGGGGCAGTGATCGTCTACTGGCTCTGAGATATAAAGAGCATGTTCAGTTCATGACAAAACTAAAATTTCATCTTGCACAGTAGGAGATTCTCCAGAAGAGGGGGATAATTAATTAACTAAAAGATCATTCTTTATAAACATTTAACTTCATAAATGCTTGTACTTTATACATCTTTTCTTGTTTTTTATTATTAAAATGTATTATAATTATCATCCATTATCCAAATACTGTTTCTTATTCCATAGTACATTAGCTTGCGCATTTCCAGGCACTGGCATTACCTGACCTGTTCTTGAGTTGAGAAAAATACATTAGTGTTGTGATGTCATGTAAAGGTTAATGTGAACATTTTCCACACCACTGCTGTTAAAAGGAGGATAATTAACTTTAGAATGAATTATTAACTTTGCTCTCAGAATTCCACAATTGACTTTGAGCAAATTATGGCATAATAACAAGACCCCTAGTATTGTTTCACCACAAATCCTCACCTTAATGAGTCACAGAAGATATTGTCAATGTTCCACAGCAGGAACCCTAACATAAAGATACCTAAGGAGGTATAACACAACGGTCTAAGCCATGGGTAAACCCTAAAAATGAAACACAAAAAACAAAACAAAAAAACCTTTAGCAAGCTGCTACTTCACTGAATATTAATGAATAACAGTTCCTTAGATATGATAATGATTTAACTTTAAAATGGTCCTCTTGACAAACTTACCATGTAACAATGAAGAGAGATCGGATCACTAGGCAACCTACTACAGCAGCATACATCACCTAAAAGATGGGGCAATTATTTAGCTTTAAAACACTGGAGAATACTGTGGGGCAAGACAGAATTTAATAAACACTTAAATGATGACCAACAGACTATAAAATGGCAGGAAATGTTAATTACTGCATATGTGCTTTGATATGAAAAGCTCTTCTAGTGTATGTTTAACAGCCAGATTGTACCAAACTGAGCACTGCATAGTGTTGGAAAACCCAGTGTTTACACAAGGTAAAAATGACACTGAGCTTTAAAAGCAAACAATGAGCAACCTGAGCCAGGTGAAGGTAACACAGAGCACTGCCTTACCTGGTGAAACACTGGCTCCTTCCACTGTAAATATACCTGTTATAAAAAATTCTGTTATTAGACATGATTTTTACTATTTAATGTGTTTTAAACTTTCAGAAGAGAGCCATGTGAGAAACTGGCTGTGTAGGCCTGAAGGACATTTTCTATCTTTCTTGTGAAACTCTGTGTACTGTGATATACTCGACTACAGACTGTTCCAGACGAAGTGAGATACAACCATCAACTGTTGGATAAGCATGTGGCCCAGTATGATTAGCGTCTAAGTCGTGTTATCAGGGTGTGCCTGTTTAATACACTCCCTGGTGTATGAACCTATCCAAGTTGTAGGAACAACAAATAATAACTTGACTTCTAGTTGATCATTTGGAATCAGAAGTGGCTTATATGAAAGGCAAAGGCCTCTAGATTATGCTTATTTTACCAAAATAAAATCTTATCATTCCTTGGTTTTTATTTAGGACAAAAAGGTCAGACTTTGCTTAGACAAAAATCTTGTCGCATAACAAAATAACGTGCAGTACAGAACATAAAGTCATGGTGCCGTGGAAAAAGAATTAATATTGTGTACGACTCCCATGAGCCTGGAGGACTGCATCTATACGTCTCTGCAATGACTCAAATAACTTATTAATGAAGTCATCTGGAATGGAAGAAAGCATTAAGATTCTTTGGTTTCATCTTCAATGCCTCCTCCTTCGTCTTACCCCCAGAAATGCTCAACAATGTTCATGTCTGGTGACTGGGCTGGCCAATCCTGGAGCACCTTGACCTTCCTTGCTTTCAGGAACTTTGATGTGGAGGCTGAAGTATGAGAAGGAGTGCCA